TATGTCGAAAACGATCCGTTTTTTCGCCGGTAATTCGTCGGATCATGCGCCGGAAATATTTCCGACGCCAATTTCGCGCCGGAAATAATTTATCGACGCGGCCAAAACCGGCGTATGAATTTCCGCCGAAAAGTCTGACGGAAACGTATGATTCCATCGGATTATCTATGTTTTCCGGCGGATTGTGTACGCCGGTAATAACGGGTTTTCCTGTAGTGGGTTATCGCTATTATGTAATTTTCATCGACGATTATACAAGTATTGTTGGCTCTTTCCAATGCACTCGAGGCTGAAACCTTCTCAAAATTTCAAACACTAACTAAGCTTATTTAAACTCGATTTAATAAAACCATTACAACCTTTTACTCCGATGCCGGTGGGGAATTTACCAATAACATGTTTCATAAATTTCTCTTGACAACGGTATAACTCATCAACTCAATTGTCCGTACACTCCCGAACAAAATGGCGTGGCCGAACGCAAGCATCGCCATCTTGTGGATACCACTCGTACTCTCCTACACGCCACCTCCCTCCCCCTACATTTTTGGGCTGAAGCTGTAATAACTTCAAGTCTTCAAATTATCTCATAAATCGGTTACAATCTAAGGCCATTAATCTCCAAATTCCCTACGAGATGCTCCACAGCAACCCTCCAACATACGATTACCTCAAAACATTCAGCTGCCTCTACTTCCCTTGGCTCAAACCTCTGTCTCCTAGCAAACTCCACCCTCCCTCACATGAATGCGTATTTCTAGGCTACTTAACCTCCCACAAGGGCTATCGCTGTCTACATCTCGGCACAAACAATATTCACATCTCTCATCATGTAATCTTCCACAAAGATGTCTTTCATACACTTAGCTCTCTCAACCATCCATCTCTCCACCTCCAGCCTCACCAATGTCTCCGCTCCTGCTCATCCTGCATTCCACTATACATACCTCATCTCAACTTACCACACCAACTCCACCAGCACTTATCCCAGCTACCATCCACCAAACAATCCATCATTCAATTCAACTCACCCACTATCCCCATCTCATGCTCATACTAGTCAACCCTCCTTAACTACAAATCCCCCACAAGCTCCTCCACACTCAACTCATCCTATGTTAACCTGCTTTCGCTCTGGTCACCTAAAGCCAAAACATATATTTGACCTTTCAGTTACCACCTGACCACCCACTACTCCCACCACGTACCAGCAAGCAATTCTACATCAACCTTGGAAGGGTGCCATGCTCTCTGAGTTTAATGCCCTTCAAAAAAAGCACACATGGCCTCTTGTGTCTGCACCGCCAAATGCTCTGATACTTGGCTCCCACTGGACCTACAAATTGAAACTTAAGCCCAATGGTCAAATTGACAGATACAAAGCTCGTCTTGTTACTCAAGGATTCAAGCAACAATACAACATCAATTAAAAGGAGACCTTTAGTCCGATGGCCAAGATGCCTACCATTCGTGTTCTCTTAACCATCGCTCTAATTCGCAAATGGCCGCGTTACAAATGGACATCTCCTGCGCCTTTCTGCATGTTGAACTCAATGAGGAAGTCTACACGTGGCAACCTTCTGGATTCCGTGACACTTCCCAAACCATGTGTGTAAGCTTAACAAGGTCATTTATGGCCTAAAACAAGCTCTGAAACAGTGGTTCACCAAACTCACAACCTTCCTACTCAACTTTGGCTTTCACTTCAGCAAAGCAGATCCATCTCTGCTACTCTACTCGGTGAATGCAATACAACTTTATTTACTTATCTATGTTGATGATATTCTCCTTACAGTTAATAATCAACAGCTCCTTCAGCAATTGCTCTCTCAATTACAAGCCACATTCCAACTTAAGCAACTTGGACAAGTCTCCACGTTTCTAGGCTTTCAGATTTGCAAAACCAATCATGGCCTGCTTCTCCATCAGTCACACTAGGCCAAGGACTTGCTTCATTCCTCCGACTTTGATAATTGCAAATCTACTCCAACACCCATGTCTCTCAAGACATCCCACGAGCACCAATCGGACCAGCCATTCGCTGATCCTCACCTCTTCCGTCACCTAGCCGAATCACTTCAATACCTCACCATCACCAGGCCAGTATAGCCTTCGCAACAAACTACATCTGTCAACACATGCAACCCACGAATCATGACTATCAGGCCCTCAAACACATCCTCCGCTACATACAAGGGATGCTTCATCTTGGTCTTCCTTTGGTTCCCGGTGATCTTTCCCTGACAACTTACACTTATGTTGATTGGGCAGTTGATCATTCTAACCGCAAGTCAATCACTGGCTTCACCACTTTCCTAGGAAAAAACCTAATCTCTTGCTGCATCAAAAAATAACCCATTGTATCCAAATCCTCCAATGAAGCTGAATACAGGGCTCTTGCTTCCGCCACCTCCGATATCCTTTGGCTCAAAAGACTCAATGACTTTCTGGTCACTCAACAGAAACCAACTAAGATCTATTGTGATAACACTTCCGCCATGACGCTTGCACACAATCCAATTTTTCATGCCCGGACGAAACACATCGAAATTGACTATTATTTCATTAGCCACCACATCCAAGAGAAGGCAATCGAACTTCATTACATAAATTCACTTGATCAACCTGCTGATGTTCTTACCAATTAAACCCCTCTCCATTACTCGGTTTCACTCTCTACGGAACAAATTAACACTCCAGCCCTTGGACTGTTAATTTGCTGGGGTCTGTCAGCATACCTCACTCTCAGCATCAACACAACGCCATCGGGACCACTAGGACGTGCAGCCTCATCTCTGTTTTCTGCACATTCCGCACAGACTGTACAAAATGTCTCTGTTGTTCCCAAACAAACCTCTGATTATCTTCCTATATAACCCTCTACGTAACACCTGCTATGTATCAACGAGAATTACCTTGCTACAGAAACTAGTCTTCTGTACATTCTCTGTTTCTTGCTTCGTCTGCGGTTAGAAGCTCTTACAAATCACCTATTAAATAAAGTATCATCCATTTTGTGTGACATGCAGATCATGCAGGTCATGCTAGGTAGCCAGCTCCTATGATTTAAATAATAAAAAAGTAACTACTGTAAGAATATTTTTATCATGCAGCGAAGAAATGGATGGGCATAACATTGCTAGTAATTAAAACAGACAATGCAGAAAACGCATACAGTCGCCCCAGAGAGGAATTTCCAACCCATCCAATCCATTTCAGCGCATCAATTGCGAACTTTTTACTCCATAGGAAAATTACGATCGATGGTTAATAGATCATACAAAAATAACAAACAAACTGCGACCTATTTAATGCAATTCACCTCACCAACTTTTTCAACTCAAAAGACCAAAAGAAATGTCAAAAAAATAAAAAGTAGGACATCTAGTAATTTTTAGAAGGAGATGGCAAAGACTAGTAAATTAGGGAGGATTGATTCTCAACAGAATTTAAATTAATAACCCATACCCGCAATGCGTCTCGATGGCTTCAATCTGCCGCAGGGCAATCCAGAGCCAGAAAGTGACCATGTGTCCCGGAACCAAAGCCGGCCCAATAAATGAAGGGATTCCAAGCACGAGCACCTCCGCCCAGTGTGCGTACGGCGCAGCGAATCCCATCGGCGCCGTGAACTCATGGTGCACGTGATGGATCTTCTCGTATCCCCACTTGGAATGCATCGCCCTGTGGATCCAGTAATTCCCGTAATCCTCCACCAAAAAATAAACCACCAGCTGCGCCGCCATCTCCCACGCTGACGGCAACGGCAACCCTGTCCTGATCCCCACCAACTACGGAACAAAAATCAAATTCCAATCAAGGTTTTGATAAAACTCATTCCGAATAAAGCCAGAAGAATCGACAAATAGGCGGAGTACCTTGACAGAGGGGTATGAGATAAGCTGGAGAGGGCCGACGACGAAGAAGAAGACGCGAAGAACGACTTTGTAGCATTTGAGAAAGGAAGAGGGCGGGAGGGCGACCTTAGGCTGGAGCTTGAAGGGCGCGATGGTGGATGGACGAATGAGCTCAGCGACGGCCATGGGGAGGGGAACCAGTGTGAAGATGACGAAGAGGAATGCGATGTTGTGGTAGAAAAGGAGGTAATCCGGCATCGATGCAGAGTAATGGAACCAGAAGGTTTCAGCGGCGGTGAGGTTTCGACCGAGCACCACCTCCGCCTCGGCGAGATTCCGGTAGGGCAGCATCGCCGGTGACAAAAGGGATGACGACGAAAGATGCGCTGGTAGTTTTATTCCTGTTTCTTCACGTGGCCTTTGAGCCCGTGAATTGAATATATTATTGTAAACCCCACGTCTCTTTAAAATCAATACGAAACCGAAAAGGACATCAGACTTAGGCTTTTTTATTGCTTGCTAAAACAGCTTCGTAGTATAAAAATTTTAATTTTTGTACTAGGAAGTTGCTTTAGGAAGCAGAAAGAAAGCCGTCCCAAACAAAGCTTTAATGTATTGTATTGGGATTATTGGATGTATTGTGTACATTCTACTTATACTCTGTGTATCTTATGCTTATACTTTAAGTATTTATAGATACATAGCAAATAAGCAGTAAATTTATTTATATTTGTTGATAATATTGCATAATGACTTCATTGAAAACAGAGCCAAAAACTTCCTTCTCGATGTATGTCACTAAACAGTCATTGAGCTATACATCATCTATTTGGCAACGCAACTGATGTTTGAAAATTAAAATAGACATAAAATATTATATATATCTTCTAATAAAAATCATTAAGTTCATAAACAATATTATAATCAGTTAGTAATCAATATAAGTTAGCATCAATCAGTAATTAGAATTAGTAATAAATTATATTAGTAATCAATAATGAATAATAAATATTCTATCAGATATTCATGTGAGGACATCTTGATGGTATCTTGCTCATCCTTATGACTCTCATTCAATAAACTCTGTATAACTCCCCTTGAATTACTCGCCCCAACTCTTTATAATTCCATCAGTTTCTAGCTCTTTATGACTCACATCCACTGACTCCTATCAGTGGACCACGTGGATCTTAAGAATATTATATGAGGTTATCATATTAACTATATGATATCGATATCAATGAGTATATCTTTTTTAATATCAATACATCACCTCCTTTCAGTCAAATTAATATCATGTTTCAGTACATTTTGATCCTACCAATCATTCAGCACATATTACATTTTAATATTATCATGCCAATCATAATACATCATTTCAACCCATTTTCAGTATGTCTTTTTCTTACTTATTTTACCCTAAAAATTTTTCTGCACATATTTAACTAATGTAATACAATCAAATTATTCGAAATGATCAAATTTATAGCATATTAAAAGTTACATGATGAAAGCTCTTGAGATCAGAATATAATGTATTTTTGACAGATTTAAGAGAGATAAATTCATATAAATCAAAATTATTAAAAAATACAAATAAGAAATTTGTCACTTATAATGATCAGAACACATTTCATAAAAGGAATGATAGATGAAAATGCCTCGATTAACTTTCTCTCTCCTCTTCTCCCCCCCTCCTCTGGTTCCTTCCTAACCAAGGCATGTGAGTGAAGGGTGAGGGAGGCGGTGTGGTAGATTTAAGGAAAAATATATTTTTACTAGCCTAGCATCATAGCACTACCTTTATACTCTATCCAAGCAGGCCAATGGGAGAGCAGATGGAATTATACATACGATTATCCATGGAGAATAGTGGCTTTCACCTACATATCTCAATGGATAATAATATGTATAACTCGATAGTCATGATATTTCCCCCATTCAATACTTCAGCTTGAATTGACTTTATTTGATGTGGGTATCAGTTTCCCACACTCGTAAGCCCCCATAGTTAATTGCAACCTATGCCTCAACTTAGGAAAACTCTCAATCAAGGATAATATTTTATTCTCTTATAGGTTTGGCACATAATGGGATATCTAGGCTCTCTTAATATAATGAAAATACAGGCTCAATTAGTTTATTCAACAAACACATATCCCATAAAAACTCAGCTAGTTAAGGGAGGAATGAGGAGGATAATCATCACATATAGAGCATGTGTAAGAGAAATATGGAGGCGACCTCATCAATGTGAAATGGATATGTGGGATTTATAACCTCCGAAGAATGGAGAACTTATCCAATAATAAGACATACATCGGCATACTTATACCGCCAGCCTTTGACCCTAGATTTATAAAGGATGTATTATACACTCAGTACTAACGCCTACAATCTAACTAGTGCAAGACACCACGATGAGACTTTTGACCTAAACCCCACCAGGAATTTAGGCAACCTCAACCTAAATTTACCACCCTACTCAAAAAGGGGTATCAGATAAAGTCCACCTAGCATCTCAAATCCATGAAGTCTGGTCATATACAAATATAAGAGTATTGGGAGGCACATAAGCGAAATGAACTTTATGCCTCATTATGAATAATGCTATACTATGCAAAGTGAATTGTATATCTATGTTATAAAGAAAAATCTATATGATTTGAACTAGGCTATGCATGCATGGGTAGGACTAATCAGAACTAGCAATTAGTCACTATGAAATGAACATGGTTTGAGATAGTAATTATATTTTAAAAGTGACCCACAAGGAATCATGTAAAAATTTTGAAAATTGGCTTAATTTTAAATCTTATGTTCATTTTTATCTTGATTAAGCAAATTTAATTTTATATAAAATTTAACATCCTAAAGAGTCTAGCATTGACTTTGTCCAAGCCACCCCAAGCTAAAAAAAGTAAGAAACCTAATAAGAGCATGTAGTTCTAATGTGCAATTAAAGTAAGCACACTAATCATCAATAAATAATAGTTAATGGACATAAATGCAGCTGGGTTCTTCAATACACTCCATGAAAAATAAAAGAAATGTAGTTGAGCTATATCATAATTACAACTCAGCTTAATTCTACACATGAATGAATTGGAGTGTGATTTCTTGATCGGTCTCCACCTACTTATCCACATGCCTTCTAAAATAACTACACACCTACAAGACTTTCCTAACTAAAATTATTTTTTTCTAAATAACAATTTCATAAAACTCCTACAAAAAATATGTTAGCACAATTATAATAAAATCCATACATATCAAGATCCATGACCTAATTCTTAGAACCACATTCTCATACGTGATATCAATTGCACGACATATTTATCAGAGCATAGATATATTATTCTCCAATTAAGAAGCACTATCTGGCGTTGATATTCGCTAACTAAAAACTCTGCCACCACTTATTGTCTCATAAAATCACATTGATATTAAAGATAGATATGCTGAAGTTTTTTATGACAAGACCAGTATTGAAAGATCTTTTAGTCATATGGGCAGTGATACTTCTACATTTTAATATCACGTATGTCTCACATAAAGCAGTGAAAGGGAAAGTCTTAGCTAATTTTCTCGTTACACACCATATTCCTGTAGATTCACTACTCAATGATGATATGCCTGACGAACATATCATGTATGTCGAAGAGTAGGAAAAACCATGAGTTTAGGAGATGTACTTCAATTAAGCATCATTGATTAAACCCGCCCAATGTGCAAATCTAGCAAAAGCCTGGGATAGTATCGGTCTCATTCTCATAACACCCGAGGGAGGTATAATGAGATATTCACTCATTCTAACTGAAACATGAATCAATAATGAGGCTGAATATGAGGCTTAATAACGGATATGGAGATTGTTATTTCAGACAGAATTTAAAACCTCCAAATTTTAGGTGACTCTCAACTTATTAAAAATTAAGTGGTGGGTGTCTACAAAATTAGCAAGCTTGAATTAGCCTACTATCATCGGTGAGTCATAAAGGTTATGAAGCAAATTCAAACTTCCAAATTAACTTGAGTTCCAAGAGCCCAAAATAGTAAGGTAGACTATTTGGCCAAGCTAGCCAAGGACATGATGAATATGAACGATGAGTCTATGTTGATTGGAGTCCTTTCTCATTAGGTCCTAGATTCAGCCATTTTACAAATCATGTAAGAAGAGCGACTAACAAATCTTAGCCAACTGGATACAACTCTGGTTGATTCTCAACCTCCCCAACAAATCATTATTGAAAACCTGTTAGATAAATATTAAGTTATTAAAAGGAGGCTTAAAGCTAGCGTCATTTAAGAATTATGGCGGCATTACTTAGACATTGAAGAAGATGATGATTGGAGACAACTATTCATTGACGACTTTAGAGAACCCATCAGATAAATCACTAGAAACATAGATCAATAAAAAAATACTATGATATGTGTTTGTCAATAACACATTATATCGAGAAGCTTTTGACTAAATATGGCTAAGATGTTTAGAGACCAAAGAAGCTGATAGGGTGATAAAAAAAGTTCGTGAAGAACTTTATGGTGCACACCAATCAGGTCTGAAAATGACAGTCAAAATCAAAATAATGGGTTACTATTGGCCAACACTTAAGAAATATTGCATTGATTATGTTAAGACATGCCATGAGTGTTAGATCCATGATAATGTTATATATCATTCGTTAAATCAATTACACTCTACGGTGACATCCTGACCATTTGAATGTTGGGGAACATATATAATTAGGCCAATTGATCCATTATCATCAGTTGGATTTCACTTCATTCTAGTAGCGACCAATTACTTTTTTAAGTGGGTAGAAGTGGCATCATTCAAAGAAGTCATATATGAACATATGATTAACTTCCTTACCCACAACATTGCCTATAGATTCGGTGTACCACACCATATAATCTCAAAAAATGACACAATATTTAAGAGTACCAAAATTTATAAATTTATTGATTGACACAAAATCAATTGGCATTACTCATTGATATACAACCCAAGGGAAAACGGTCTGATGGAGGCCTTCAATAAAGTATTGGTAAAATTACTTAAGAAGATCCTTACCAAGAACAAAAGAGAGTGACATACTAAGATGATATAAATATTATGGGTATATCATACAACTTACAAGATGTTAATCAGAGCTACTCCTTATATACTAGTGTTTATCGTTGAAGTAGTCTGCCATTGGAGATCAAGTTACCATCACTTTAGGTAGCTGTCCAACATGATGTCACTAAGGAGCAAAATACTCGCTTGAGAATGGAACAACTTAACACATTGGATGAAATAAGGATGCATGCTCATGAGAATATGGAGATATATTAAGCAAGGATGGAAAAAAATTTTGATCTGGTGGTGCTTCATCGAGCATTTCAAGAAGGAGAGTTAGTTCTGGTGCTGAGAAGGTCAATCATTCAAC